GCGGATTCAGCTATGATCTGACATTTTTAAATAATTAATTTAATGTCGCTGTTTTCTATTTGTATATATCATATAATCATTTCAGAATAGCTTTTTGCTGATCTTAGATTTTAATTCCATGTGGATGCTAACGTTGTAGTGTTTTGAAAACTGCATCTACGTCGTGTGAGGAGCCTGTATAACTCTGACTTTGACCTCATTTTCCCACTAGCCCTCCACCATTTAGTGACATTACATCACCATGTAGTATCAGAGAGGAAGCTGATATGGGCAATGAAAGCATCCTCTGGAGACTGAATGAATAAATCATATATTTTACCTAAGAAATATATCATTTTACTGTAGTTTGGAAATAAAATGTGTGAAATTCTCGCAACACAATGTCTCATTCCTGTGTCCTTTGATTACAATGGGCTTTACTAACTTTATATTTTAAGACCATTAATGTTTGTTATCGCCACGTTTTCATTGATGCCAAATGACTCTAATCATCAGCTGTTATCTGATGTTTCTTCTTTGGCGATACGTATTTTTGTATTTCATGGTAATACAGCATGAGAGAGACCGTGATATAGGAGATGGAGAGAATGAAAAGATATAGAGAAAGAGATGAAGGCACGTGTGTGTGTGTGTGTGTGTGTGTGTGTGTGTGTGTGTGTGTGTGTGTGTGTGTGTGTGTGTGTGTGTGTGTGTGTGTGTGTGTGAGAAGCCCCTTACGGCAGAGGATCCCCTGCTCTTTCATATTTCACCAAGCGTGACTAACGCCTGGCTTTACTCTGACACACACACCCGCACGCAGGCGCACACACACACACACACACACACACACACACACACACACACACACACACACACATACACACACATACATAGAGATGCACACCATCACGTAGACATATACTAGGATGTTGAATCTGCTCCCAATCTAGTCACGTTTCTCCGGCTACGCAAGACTGGCTGACACACTAACACATGACAGCAACAGTGTGCACGTGTGTGTCCAAGTTTGTTCATCTGTTTGTGTTTCTATGCAGGATATCTGCAGGCACAATCCTGATTAGAACAGCTCTGAAACACACACACACACACACACACACACACACACACACACACACACACACACACACACACACACACACACACACACACACACACACACACACACTGTGAGGAAGAAAGAGACATATTGGTGGCGCTGTCCATTCAAGCATTAATTAACGAAGAGTTGTGCGATTAGAAAATGAAAGACCAAATATAGGACTATGGCTGACTGTGTGTTTGTGTGTGTGTGTGCATGTGAGTGCAGAGGGCAGTAGCAGCAGTGTTGTGACAACAGTGTGAGCCAGGGTCTCTTCAGGGTCTTAGTGCCTGGCTGTTCAACCGCCAATCTCCAGATTATTTTGAGGCATTTCTGACTAATTGGCAGTGAATGAAAAGATCAGGCCGAGAGGCGAAGATAAATGAAGTGCGCTGAAGGTCAGGAGACGGGTTCAGATCAGTTCATTTTGTCAGAGCAGCGTTTGCTCCCAATCCCGGTTTAAATGAGGTTAAAGCATGCAGCAGGGGAGAGCACACACAGCCACGTCCACTTGAATTTGTAAGAATTAGCTGATTCTGTTCTGCACAGACGTACTCTCCTGTGCAAAGCAGCTGCCCTGACCTAAAATACGATATCAAGAATAGATTTAGCATCTCGTAGCAGACAATACATGACAGCCAGCTGCAGTGTAGGGTTGATGCAGAGAGAAAGGGCTTCAATCTTTCATTGGTCTTGCTGTCGGTCAGTGGATGCTAAAGCATGGTTTTGGAATCGTCACACATTGAATCCATCTGTCTTTCATCTTCAGTCATTCTTACAGGTTTTTTACTTATACTAATAACAGTTTTTTTTTTTTTTAAACAGTCTGGATCCAAGAAAAGAATGTCTCTCTTGGGACAGATATTAATTAAGACTGTGGGCTGTTTAGTTACTGATGTAGAGACACAGAGGGGACTGAGTGATACATCTCATAGGCACACATGTTATTTTAGTTAATGAATGAAATGGAAGCTTATCCTAACCTAAATTATTGTAACAACATGTTACAAATTCATTATTTAAAAATGTCAGATCATACATGTTCTCTGGAAGTTTTTCCTTGTACGATGTGAGGGTCTAAGGATAGAGGGTGTCGTTTTTCTCATACTGATATTCTGAACAATCTGTGCTGTTGTATTTGCTGTAAAGTGTCTCTACTGTAGGCTATTTGTATTATATGTACAGCACTTTGGCTCAACCAAAAATCGTTTATAGATGTGCTATATAAATAAAACTTGATTTGATTTGATTTACAAAGCTAAATAGTTGCCTATAGTGAGTTCAGGGTTTGGATGAATACAGCAACAACAGTGAGGTCAGCTTTGTGTTAACTACCTGGAGAGAGATTAAGCCAAAAGGTCAAATGTCAAATGAATGAGAACAGTCGGCTCTCTGTAGGGGAGGATAATCTATCTCCTCTCTTAGGCTACATGAAGGCTGTATCTGTATGATAGCTGTGTTAGCATCTCAGCTCTCTCTATGACCACTCCACCTTAACCTTACTCCAGCTCGGAGATGCTACATTTCTGACTTCACCCACTACGATCCCACAAACCAGTAATAATGTGTATTTGGACACATTTTATTGAGCTCTAGTCTTGTTGACCTCTCCTTCATGTTAGGCTTGCATGTATTTCCTTTATTCCGTTAATCAGAATGTGGCAGAACAACACATGGATAAAATGACCCTTAATCGATGCTTGTTCAAATGTATCTAAGAGTTCACTCTAAAACCCTATGTTGCAAAAAAAAATTATTAACACATTATTAAATAAGTAAGAAACAATGACATCACAGTGGCTAACATGAAGGAAACCAATGTGTTACTGTGTAATATCAGGCTTACTTTGATAAAATGTTTTACTTCTTAGACATTACAGTGGTTATTCGGTTTTTGGGTCCAAAATAAAAGTGAGTTTAGGCTCAAGTACACATTTCAGGATAACTAAGGGATCCTCAATGAAATCCAGAAACAAATACCTGATACAACTGATTACTTGTAATGTAAAAGTTGCTTTAAAGTGGACCTATCATGCTATATTTGAAACATATATTGTAGGGCCATACCTATATAAAACATGTCTGTGAAGTTTTTTTTTCAAAATACCAAACAGATCATGCATTTTTTTGCCATGCCTCATTTATTTGCTCTTTTCCAGCCCTGTTTTTGCAAGGGCTGATTCTGCTTTTGTGGCAGACTACAGCGCCACTTACAGGCCTGGCATATGTACTACAGCGTCTCCAGCGCTTTCGAGCTGTCTCTCTTTCCCCTGATAGGTGGAGAGTTGCCCATATAGGCGGAGCACCCCTTTTCTGACATCAGAAAAATTCAAATAATAATCAGCTCCGTTGCAGCCCCGTTTTTAGAGATTTGGGTATGGAGGAAAAGAGAGAGGGTTGTGTTTTCTGACACTTGGTGAGTTCCCTGAAACACCGGGGACACATATTCATGTATAAAAGATATATAAAGAAGAAATAGTCATTTATGTTTGACATGGCATTTAAACTTAAAATGTCTACTGCATTTGTTTTGACCTCTTCAGGCTCTGATCCGGTGTATCTCTCTAAGTGTCCAGCTGTGAAATAATGTTGTGCAGTTAGCAGACAAATAGTCTTACCATGCGAGTGCTGAAAATCCTTTTATTGTATATGTGCTTTTCACACATTATACACTCTCACTTGCATTTGTAGTTAATTGTCCCATTAACCTTGGGTTAAAGTCAAGCATACTTGAAATGAGTTACTAGATTCTACTTGGATAATGTGCAATCATTTTCTGACTGTATTATATTACCTGTGTGTCTTAGCTGAAATTAAACCGATATATTGGTGTTGATATGATCAAAGACTAATTATCCAATTTCCTTGAAGCTTTAAAAGTCCTCCTGGAAATCATCTTCTTCTCTTTATCGGTATCTTCTCTTCTGAGTAATTTACATTTAAATGGAATAATTAACACACGATAAACGATTTTACCATAATTCACCTCATTAGTGTACTTCTTTGAAGGAGTGAGTGTGTATTCAGTTTACAGACCACCCTCTTAAATGCTCAGCTGTCACACACCATGTAACCACAATGTTGAGGACTTACTGTAAAAGTAGGACCTGTCGTCCCTCCGTCCTCAGCTTCACTAACTTCTCCCTTTACCCGGTCCAGTAAAGCAGAAAGAGAAACATCGAATATTATTTTTTAAAAGATGAAGAGAAGCGAGGAAGAATGAGAATGAGGAAGAGAAGAGGGAGAGGACAACAGTGAGAGTTACTGTAGCTCGAGTCAGAGATGTGGAAGGCAAAGCAGCGTGATGAAGGTACAGAGAGATGAGGAGGAGAGGAAGAAACAGTCATTCCCTGAGGCAGGCTCGTCTCCCGCTCACTGTCCTCATTCAGTTTTGCCTCATTTTGCCTATAAACTTCTGTTTCAAGTGAAGTCTTCCCATGTGTGTGTGTGTGTGTGTGTGTGTGTGGTGTGTGTGTGTGTGTGTGTGTGTGTGTGTGTGTGTGTGTGTGTGTGTGTGTGTGTGAGTGTGTGTGTGTGTGAGTGCGCGTTTGTTTAGGTTTGTGTGTTGTGCATTCCCATATGTATAGTGCAGGAAGCTCAGGAAACAATTAGGACCATGCTGGTTGTACACCTGGACAGCCCCATGTGCTTACACACACACCACAAATAATCTCATCACACACACATATACATTGCACACACTCTGCTCTGCTCTTATGCTTGTTACAATTTCACACTATTACCTTCTTCTTTTCCAGCCTGAATAAATCTTTCTGCTTCTGAACTAACACTCTTTCTTCTTCTGTCCTTTTCCCCCCTACTTTGTTCCCACCTTGCTACACCTCGTCTTCCCAACCATTCTATTTTTCCTTGTCATTTCCTCGTTTCCTCTCCTCCTCCTCACCGTCCTTTCCTACAATAGAAGTATCGGTGTCAAGAAGAAGAAGGGGCATCACCAGGTGCCCCAAAACTCCACCATCACCCCTGCGTTCTGCATCATATGGGAGTAGCCAGCGAACTGAGGGATGGAGGCACCCTTGGGAGGGATGGAGACACCCTTGGGAGGGATGGAGGCACCCTTGGGAGGGATGGAGGCACCCTTGGGAGGGATGGAGGCACCCTTGGGAGGGACGGAGGGACACTTGGGAGGGACGGAGGGACACTTGGGAGGGACGGAGGGACCCTAGGAAGGGACGGAGGCACCCTGGGAAGGGACGGAGGGACACTTGGGAGGGAAGGAGGGACCCTAGGAAGGGACAGCGGGACCCTGGACAGAGGGGCAGGGACCCTAGGTAGAGATGGAGGCACATTGGGGAGGGGCGGAGGCACCCTGGGTAGGAAGGGAAGGGAAGGGAGAGAGTCGAGGGAAGGGGGGACCTGGAGAAGGGAGGCAGGGTATGCCAGCACCATGGAGAGAGAAAGGGAGCAATCTCTGGGGAGGGACGGATCTCTGGGTCACCACGGTGACCTGCGTGGTGCGGAGTTGGTTCAGGTGGCGGAGCGGCAACTGTCTCAGATTCAACACGTTCACGGATACGTGACTCACACACACATCACGCCTGCTCAGGTAACTAAGGTTCTTTCATCAGTTTGCCTAACACATGCACACACCACACCACACACACACCACACACACACACACACACACACACACACACACACACACACACACACACACACACACACACACACACACACACACACACACACACACACACACACACACACACACACACACACACACACACACACACACACACACACACACACACACACACATTACTACACTGTCAATCAGTTCCCCATCACGACAGCTGTCTACCTGTCTGTGTTTATTTACTTTTTGAGCTCATGATTTTTAAAGTACATTTGAACATAATTGAGGCACAGCATCAATCGATCATAGTTGAATTGACAAATAATTGTTCTGCTTTGTTTACATAACTTAATATTTAAATCAACCTTTAGCAGTCCCATAATAATATATGAAGTTGTAACTTTCTTTTAGATTTGCTGTAGTCTCTTTAAATCAATTTGGGAGTGAGAGTTGTTCTATTCCTAACCCTGATGCTTTACTACCAAATGTTTTTGCCAGATATGTTTTGAGGACACGTACTCGTGGCCTTAAGCTACTGTATGTTTGATGGGATCGCACAGTTAACAGGACTTAAATGAGTGCTTACATTCCACTAGAAAAATATGATATACTAATTAATGTTACTGCCCCATAAACACTTCATTTGTTGTTGTTCAAGTCACTGTTGACTATGACTATAAATGCTTAACGTTGGTATTTTATGTTTTTTATAAGATTGGAAAGGATACATTGATGCATTCAGTAAATATTCATGAACAATAACATTGGTTTAACATGTTGATGAAAAAGGCCACTGCCAAGTATGCAGATTCGACTCCCAAGCTCACATAAATGTTCAGGCAATGTCTCCCCCTCTATCATCCCCCTTTTCACTGTATCTCTGATAAAGGCACTCTCTGCCCCAAAAAATATCTTTGAAAAAAAAGTAATTGCCGGCATTCCCCTAAAAATCATCGCCAATTTCAAAGGAATTTACTACTTTGTTTTTGATTACATTTCATTCCTCTTTAAATTGACTCTAAAGTGACTACAGTTCTCTGGAAACCTTGTGCTTTTAAAACTTCCTTTTGAACACCGCTGGATAGACTGCAAAATGAAAGCTTAAATTAAGCCTGTTTGTCATAGTCTCTGAAAAGATGAGTCGTTAGAGATAACAGACTTTTTGCCATCAGCGGTGATATGCTTCATGTCTATTATAATTAGTTGTAAATGATTTTAAATTGGTCTAATGTCACATCTAATACCGTCAGTTTCTATTTTGGGGTTTTTGTCTCTGGTCAAGGTGGCAGAGGCAGCTCCTAAAAATACCTGTTTTATTATGGCTACAGACTTAGATAGGTCTTTTTTTATGTACTTAGAAGTCAAGGACACTGGCCTAAAGTGGAGCTGTGCGCACAGGGATTTAGTCAAATCCTCGTCCCATTTTTTAGTAAAGCGGCCCATTACTATCTCTGTTCTGCACTCGGTCTGTCTGTCTGGCACCCTCTCTCTTTGTCTCTTTCTTTTCCCTCTCTATCTCTCTCACACACTCATAATAGCGCAGCGTAGCCTGGTAATCTTTTTATTTTGGTTGATTGGGATGTATCTGTCTGCAGATTAGTGCTTACATCACTCTGACCACACACACACTCTCTCTCTTTCACGTGTGCACAGTTGTTTCCCCGACACTCATTCCAAAACATGATAACACAAACATCATTATGTTTCATCATGTGTTCATCTTTTGTTGACTTTTCTAATCACTCTTTTAGGGACTGTATGTTTTCGTATTGTCTCGTAAATCACAATGATGGTCTTTTCTATGAGGGAACTTACAAAAGCCTGCCCGTATTCCACCAAAATTGCATATGCAAATTGAGAATATTACATAATCTGCTACCACATTGAATGAAATGGTAGTAGGGAGGTGATCAAAGACATCAACTCAGTTGTTTTTCTTGGGGGTTCTCTGTCACTCTGTTAGGAATAAACAGTTTTTAAAGCCGTAAGCCACAGAAGGCTTTACAGTTATTTTAAAACACCTGACAGACATTATACTGTAAGATTTCAAATGTCCCAGGATTCCTCTGCTTCTTCATTTCCTGTCATTTTCATCGTCTTGGCTCTTTTCTTTCATTTCCTCCGTTTTTTCTTTCTATCATCCCCCACTGATATGTCATCCTTTGTACATTCTGGCATGAGTGATTATTAGTAAGTGTATTATTTTATTATATAAACACTTATGTGTCAGTAGTAGTAGAGTGTCTATGTGTGTGTGCATATATTTGGGGTGAGTGGTGTGTCACTTCCAAGTCATGTCTCGTCATGTCACTTCCTAGTCATGTCCCAAGTCTGACTCAGGAGTCAGTCAGCACAGCCCAAAGTGTGTCTGCTGGAAAGCCTTGGACCGAAGTGAAGATGTTGTCCCTGTGGTGAAGAAAATGTGGGTGTGTAGCTCCACCTTGTGGTTGGACACCACTTTTCTGTCACTTTAATCCATAAACATTTCACTGCTGAGGGGGCATGTAGAGTTCATATTGGTTGTGATATTGATCGATGCAATGATTTGTTTAACCATCCATGCATCAATATAGCTTTCCATTTGTGATCTCTGTTTACTGTACAGCAACCATGCACAGTAATCGTTTGGTGTCTGTGGAAATGCAGCTAAAGAGTTTTGAGCTGTAGTCATTGTAGGATTACATCATCCTCATTCCCTTAGTATACAGAGGCTCCACAACCTCATCCACACCGCCGTATCATCATCACTGCTTTTCACAAAGCTTAAAAGTTGCTCATCACCTATATGACAGTGAAATCGGTGGTGAATGTATGTGTAGCCTTCAGGGTATTCGGGTGTTCAGGTTATTTTGGGAACTCCTCCTAGCCAAATTGTTTGTGTATGTTTGTCGGATGTGTGTGTGTGTGTGTGTGTGTGTGTGTGTGTGTGTGTGTGTGTGTGTGTGTGTGTGTGTGTGTGTGTGTGTGTGTGTGTGACCCCAGGATCTGGCTTGCTTATGTATGACAGATGGACCTGCCACCTTGTTCTCCCCATGGGCATGTTCTCTGCTTCTTACACACCAACACACACACACACACACATACACACACACACACACACACACACACACACACACACACATCATCTTGTGACTATAGTACTTATTTGTTTACCTTTAATCTTACAAAGCCTAAATGCAACTGCATATTGGTCAACATTTAGTTCTGTATGACCATATTAAAAATAGTAGGCCAATGAAAACGTGTACATTTAGTTGTAAGTTAATGTGTGGCTGTTAAAGGTAGTTTGCCCACCTTTCTGACCTGTTTTCTGTAATGGAAAAATCTATTTTAATGTTCCCACATTTTGGCAATTGTTATTCCTCATGCATACTGTATAAGGCAGTCGCTTAATTCTACTATAAGAAAGAAAGAACAAGTAATAACAGATGCACTAAGACTACCCTTACATTGCCCATTCAATTCTCCAAACACACTGCAGTATCTGATTTTATCTGAAAATGATGTATTTTCTTACCTATTAAAGCAGAAATGAACCAGGCTTAAAACGTCACTGTTTCTCTAGGTAACGCTTTGTAAGGCAGTTATTTGTAAATATAGTATTATCACAATAATGGTTGAAATTTATAATCTGTCCTTGACTACGAGTAACATGAAGGACCTACATATTAAAATATAAAGTTAGCCGAGAGAGAGTGAGAGAGAGATAGTGTGTATGTGTGTGTGTTGCACATGTGTGTGTGTGTGTGTGTTGCACCATGCTGAGATCTGTCTGTGCATCGTAGGTAGAATCACCCGAGGGTCCGTATGATGACGAGGGGTGGCGTCACCCAGAGGGGGAGAGGCTGAATGAAGTCCCAGCCCCGCCTTTCTCTTCCCTCTATTCTCATAGCCACGCCCACTACCAGGTAACCCCGCCTCTGAGCCCGTCGCATGCCTCCATAGCTTGGTTCTTTTTATGTTCATTTTCAGTTGTCCCTCACGTTTTAAGTTGAGGTTATATAAGAGCATGCAGTCCATTTTTTTATCCTTTTAATCTCTGATTTTCTGTGTTTTTTGAGACAGTTGTGCAGAATCTGTGTGAATCTGTATGAATTATTGTTGCATTGGTTGAAATTCAGAGACACCATTCTTTCACAACCTCATCGAAACTCGTCTCTTACAAAGTGTTTCATGTAGCATTTCAATATCATTAAATAGTTATTAGGAACATCTCTACTCTGCAAATGGATAAAGTGCCAGATGGTGCAAGGAATCAAATCTGTATGATCAAATAGCTTTCAACATGTTTATATTCCTATAAATGCAAAGGCAGGCAGAAGAGAGTGACACGTTTGATATGTTCTTTATATGTGAGACAAGGTATATCTGCTCACGCTTTGTTTGTATCTACATTTTTAAACATGAATGTACTTCATCAAGACTGTCGACACTTATCTCCTGAAGCCAAAACCAAAAGTCAGCTGAAATGTATCTACTGTTTTTTTTCTCTGAACCATGTGAACGCAGAGCTAAAACTGTGGTTGTTCATGTTTGTGTCTTTTCGTACTGCGCATGCGGTTTGTGATTGTGTCTTTACTTGATAATGAAAAAAAAGGAAACCAAAAAGCATCATAAATATTTGTTTTGGCTCCGATCTTTTCTTTACTTTTTACCCACCACCTTGTTTGTTTCCTATAATGTATGTACATTCTGCTGCTTTTCACATTGTTAAGTACTTTACCCTCTTATGTAGCTTGTGTCTTAAGTATTTATAGTAAAGAAAGTAATGAGAGTGGAAACATAACATAGACAGTTTCCTCTTCCTCTCCCCTGGTAATTGCAGCGTAGAAACTGCAGGAGGCAGTAGAGGCAGGGAAATACCCCCCATCAAATCAAGGTCTGACTTGGCTTAATAAATCAAACTATTTAATGGCGAGCATTTAACTGAGTCATTGAATATTGCTGAGAAAGAGGCTCAAAAAAATAATGGCAGATTAATACCTGTATTGACATTTTGGAAAGTCTACTGTATTTACTGAGGAGGAAATGCAGTCGACACTGCGGCAGTATAATTGACTTTCCTTAAATAACTCCACCAATAAAATGCATATCCACTGCAGAGATTGAATGAGGAGCAACAGTAAAAATGTCGCTTACTGTCTTTTTATAACACAGTAGAGTTTATTTAACAGTAAGTATCACGTAGGCAACACAGAAACCTTAATGGCTCTTGGTCATTAGGCTAATGCACATAATAAGGAAAGGAAGGAAAGAAACAGACGGTGGGGGAGCGGCAAGAGATGGGATAAAGAGAGAATTACAGGCAGACAGACACAGATTTGTTGCTCAATGTTAATCAACCTGTCAATCAGACAATCCCCTCCTCAATGAATCTATGTCCCCTCCTGCCAATACAGTCGTTGAAATAAGGACCCCGTCAGACCTTTACTCAGCACTTACTGTAATGTCTAACAGTCGTGTAGTGACTGCATCCGAATGGAAAGCCATACGGATGAATAGACAAATCAATTGCTGTACATGTGCATATAATAAATGCTTATTTTAACAATTTCCTTTAAGGTGATTAGCCTTAGGAAAAGGCACTGACAGGATTATTTGTCCACCTTTAGCTGGCTTGTCTTTGGACTTAAATCCATTGTGTGGATCACCAATTTTCTTTTATGTTTAATAAAACAAGCCTGATTTCAAAAGCTGCCTCCACCTACCTGCATGCATTCATGTGGTCATGCAATCACTTTATTCATTACACACACACACACACACCAGCACACACACACCACACACACACACACACACACACACACACACACCACACACACACCACACACCACAACACACACACACACACACACACACACACACACACACACACACACACACACACACAACCTCACAAACTATTGACATCCATTGCAAATTTGAACCTCTTAGGGGGAACATGTGGCTGTCAAGGGGGGGGGGGGAATACTTTGGGACTGACCGAGAGACAGAGTAAGCTATAGAGCTGCAGACAACAGCATGGAACTAGCTATAGCTGACACTTGGGGACAGTGTAGCTTTTAGTTATTGAAAGCTTGAATATGCATCCTTTCATATGTAGTCGCCCTTACAGTCTACATTAGTTTTGCCTTTATGTCCGCTATCTTTTATGTTCATCTATGTTAAAACCTGCAATCTCCGAAAGGTAGTTGCCTATTTACACATTGAAAAAATGACGAAGTTACATTTTCTCTCATTTAGAGTTATGTTTCTGGCTCCCTGGTGGATGTGAGTTCTATATTCACTTTTCTTTAATCAGTGTTTTTATCTTTAGCTGCAAAATGCTATACAATGTTCCCCAGCTAGTTGCTACCTTTGTGTGTATACAGTTTGGTGGTTAGCTGGTACAGTAGTGTGCTGCCTACTTAAGCCATATGACAATATGTTAGAGGTGAAAGTAAACGCACTGGTAATGTTTCTGCTAAAACAGCTCAAACTCACTAAAAAGATCTGTGGAGCTGCATAATCACTAAAAACACCCCTTTCATGTGATGTGAAGTAATTTGATCTGCTGCTATTATTATTATATTGTGCAAAGAAAAACTGAGCTGCGTAGCTAAGAAAAAAAAACAGCCCACCCCCAGACACTGAGAGTCTGAATATTTGATCCGGCCTGTTGGGATTGAGCCGGTGCTTTGCTCGCTCTGCAGTGCTTTATGTTTACCCCTCTATATCCCCATTATTTACCAGGGCAGCTTGACATATCTTTTCAAAATGGTCCTTACCAGAATCTGAAAGGGATCTAATGGAAGGGCTGGGGGAGAGCCAACATGGTTAGGAACCAGTGGAGGAGACCGCAGTATAGATCTGCATGCCGTCGTGTTTGCAGTGCTTCTAGCTGCACCAGCGTTTCTGTATTGTTGTTGACAACAAGAAGCCAATATCTATTACAATTCTATTGAGAGCCATGTTCAAATTAAAGGCAAGCTAGGACAACATGACAGGGCAAGAAATAAAATAACAAAATATGTGTTGATTTCAGTTGGCCACTAAAAAGTGGTTGATTTGTACTACTCCTTAACTACAAATGTTTGTATAAACAGTCTCTGCTAAAACCAGTAGGAATCAAGCCTTTAGTCTGTTATGAGGGGCCGTACAGGCCGCAATTCATACTGGTCCTCTCACGCACATACATTCTCCTTATACATACATACATTTTCACTCTTACACACATATATTATCCTTTTACATACATACATTTTCACTCTTATACACATATATTCTCCTTTTACATACATATATTTTCACTCTCACACACATATATTCTCCTTTTACATAAATATATTCTCCTTTTACATACATACATTTTCACTCTTACACACATATATTCTCCTTTTACATACATATATTTTCACTCTCACACACATATATTCTCCTTTTACATAAATACATTCTCCTTTTACATACACACATTTTCACTCTCACACACGTATATATTTACACTCACACATTCATACATTTTGCTCTCATATTATCATATTTCAATGCACACATTCATAGGGGGTAGGACCAGAAAAGTTTTTTTAAGCTTCTTCTTGCCCTGTTGAACATGACAGAGACTATCTGAGAATTATTATTATTTTTTTTTTGTTATTATTTTTTTTTGTTTGTACTTTGTTATAATTATTAATTTGAGTGAGAAAAAAAAGGAAAAAAGAGAATATATATATATATATATTATTGTTGTATGTTTTTGTTTCTGACATGTTCAATAAACTGACTAAAAAAATATATATATATTGTCACTCACACATTCATGCATTTTGTTCTCATATTCATATATTTGAATGCTCATATTTATACATTTTGCTCTCATGCACATTCATTCAATGTTCACATTTAATATTATAAATAATATATGCATGTCTGAAGACAATGTATGTATGTAAGAGAAGAATGTATGTATGTATGTATGTATGTATGTATGTATGTATGTATGTATGTATGTATGTATGTATGTATGTATGTATGTATGTATGTATGTATGTATGAAGACAATGTATGTATGTATGTATGTATGTATGTATGTATGTATGTATGTATGTATGTATGTATGTATGTATGTATGTATGTATGTAAGAGACGAATGTATGTATGTATGAAGACAATATCATGTGTATGCAAGAGAAGAATGTATGTATGTGTGAGAGAAAGTATAGTGGAAACGGAAGGAGTATGGTTGAAACGGAAGGCAGGTCATTATCGCGCTGTGATTGGCTCAGAAGGTCGAGCGGGGCGGGCTCATGTTCAGAACTTCGGATTCAAATCAACACGATGGAGGGAGATGAATCCGTGTATCTACGGACCAATTGTTTTTCTTTATTAAAAAAGTTAACGGAAGAGCGTGTGAGAGGCGTTTTTGCCCTTTTGCTTGTTACCTTACTAAATGGTCTAATGGTCATTGTAGCGAGGAGGGAGGGGTGTCCGCGAAACTCGCGGAAGTAATTTCAAAACAAAAAGCACTCGTTTGCTTGGAACGGTGATATTATAAACAAGGGGAAACTAGGGGAATTTAGCGATCACAACGAAAACGCCCAAGACACACATTGAGCCCAGAAAATGAATGTTATTAAGGGCTGTAAATATAATAAGCCTGTGTCTAAAATGGACAACATTGTTAGGAGATTTAAACTATACAGCGGTTCTGCACTGCGGTCACTCAGCCGTCTCTCTATTTTTTTTTCAAATCAGCAGCTCTTTCCCTGCTATATTTGATGATCGATACAAATATTTGATACCACAAGTTCTTAATAAAAGTGACACTGTTGGACTCGGTACTAGTTTGACTGCTACCAAAAATAAAATGAATTACTTTTACTGTGTACTTTATGAGTAGCCTAATCCTCTGTCAAAGTCCCCTCCATAG